GCGAGGGCCGGCATCCGAAGTGTATGGCCGCGGCAGTTATCACAGGATCTACAGCGCTGTCTTTGTGTGAGTCATCCACAGCCGGATTGGAGTCGGCTATCAGTGATGCGTGCACATGTGCTAGTAGCCGCCATAGGCGAGTATTCGCACGGAGTGGGGCCACTACAGGGGGTTAGGATTAGGGCTACGGTTAGCGCATAGGGATTGCGGTTTTTGGCTTAAGGTAAGGCCCTAGGGTTCAGTTTTAGGCGATTTGTTCAAACTTTCAGCACTCTGTTGCCTATCAATCCATAGTGAGTAACTTTCCGTTTTTTTTAATTGCGCACGACTTCGTAAACGCCACTGAAATATTGAGAAAAAATTCTTCTTACCGCAAGCATTTCCATGTTTGACTCGAAAAGTCTATTTGGTAAACATATGTTTTTGGCAATTCCTCATTGAGCCGGCACAATTGCATTGCATTGCGACTTGGGTAGGGTTTATAAATGACTTATCATTAAAATTCACCGTTTTCACACCGCCCGCATGGCGAGATCAGCCTGTAGGGGTCACTGGACTGGAGTAGGGGGCAAAATGGGGTAAGTTGTGAGTATTCGTCATGGATTGAGCACAAGGAGTTGAAAGCAGTCACGTGCATGGAGTGAATAACTGTTGCCAGGGGGTGAAGGCAACATGCGATCGCTATATTGCGTCTGCCACGGAAGAGGGAGTGTCTGCATTAGCCTCCTCTGACAGTACAGCAAGGATATCACTAGCCGTATGGCAACCGTCCCAGCTGCTGCTATCACCCGTTGGCGTACGTCTTTTAAGAAGTTTTTTGGAGTCCGGTAGCCGACCTGAAAGGCTTCGTTTAGATCGACTCGATTATTGGCAGCGACAAGGTGAGCGAAATTATAATTCTAGACCCATCTAGTTTAACCTTTACTTAGCCAGGTTGGTATACATTCACGCACCCTCCTTTCCAGGCCTGATGATGAATTGCCGAAAAAATATGTTTGATAAATAGACTTCACATTTCTTATTTTCTGTCTGCTTCATTTTTGTCTCTACATTTACCTACTAGTTGCCATTTTCTCCAGCCCTAATTACCATCATTCCCTTATTACAGGAGACCTTGTTTGTCGCTATGCAAAATGTTTGCACATGTAAGATCCTTGCCGATTTGCACTGTCTACTTGGTCTCCTTGGAGAGTTTAATCAACGTTCTCGTTTACAGAGCTGCTTAACTCTTCCTTTCCGAGGGTCTTTGATCATCCGTC